AAAAAAAAAAAAAAAAAAAACGGTCAAGTACTCTCTTGAGCAATTATGAGTTGTGTATGGATTCTTTTGGTTTTGGGGATGAGAAACACTGATGTTGATTACGGATGAGTAGCGGAATAGTCGAGTAGTCTATTTACTCGAATGATATGATTGTTTATTTCAACCACTTTATCCATATATATCCTACCTTTGACCAAATAGCCTACGTTACAACCCGAGAAGACCTTTTGATTTAAAGCTCACGATTACTAATTGTTTTTGAAGTAGGGTGTTAGATGATTGGCAAACATATAGTTAACTGGGTGTTTAATTTGACTTGAGCGTATCCTTCTCTTTTATATATTGATGACATATGAGTGAGGCACTTATATATTCCTATTTGAGAGTTCGTTGATTCAAGGTAGACACAAGATAGTAGTCAAAAGCATGATTATTATGATCGTTTGAATTTTTCTTGGTTGCATTGAAGAACTTGAAGTTGTTCTAGTTTGATATCACTCATTATGCTTGAGTTTTGATTTTCTTATTCTTGTTCGGGGACGAACAAGGGTTTAAGTTTGGGGGAGTGATGTTCATCATATTTTCATGCATTATGAGTGATATAGTGTGATGTTTGACCGTGTTTATTGTGGGATTGCGCACCATTTCGTTTGATTTATTAATCTATGATAGAGGTATAGTTATCGTTGGTTTTGTAGGAAATATGCCCGAAAAAGCGTTAAAGATGGAATCAGGATGAAAAACGGCAAAAATAAGGTGCTGTCAGGGTCACACGACTCGTGTTGTATGTGACACGAGTCGTGTGAGGTGAGAAAAATGGGATCATGAAGAATTTTGGCACGGCTTCACCACACGAGTCGTGTGGCCCATGACACGAGTCGTGTGGGCTCACACGACTCGTGTGACCTTTCGTGTAGGTTGGCCGTGTGAGTCTGGGAGCGGGGCAAAAATTCGAAGAAAGTCACACGACTCGTGTGGCTAGTGACACGACTCGTGTGACGCGCAGACAGTCCAGCGGGAAATAGGATTCCTACGCAATTTTGTCCCTTTTTCAAGCCATATTTACCCTACAGTATATAAGGAACATAAGGAACACGGTTCTGGGACTTTTGACACCATTGGAGGCCTAGGGAAAGCACGAAACACACGAGGGATTCGAGGAAGTCAAGATTGAAGATCCGGGAACTAACGGCGACAATAGTTCTTCTTTCTTTTCTCTTTTTCTTCTTCGTTGAACTCATGGATTTATTTATTTTGAGTATTGAGAATATGTTTAGTAGCTAAATTTCTTTGAGATTCTAGGTTTTGCGAGTACTCGGATTATTTTATGAAGTGGTTTTGTTTATTCATTCCGTTCTATCTTTCGTTTATCAATTTCTTGTGCTTATTATTATTGTGTGAGTAGACGGCCGCTATGAATGCATATTTGTAATTGATTTGAGACCGAGAGGAGATAATTGATTGCTAGAATTGGGAAATTCATAACGTAAGAGGCTAAACAGACCGAGAGGTTGATAGGATCTTGCGAGGGAACTAGAATCTTAGGAGCTTATGGGAGTTAGTTGTTCATCTTGAGACCGAGAGGAGATAGATAGCAATTAATATCTACGATTTGCTTGTTCGAGAGAAAAGTTGAAATCACTTTAGCGATTATCCCTACGATTGGTAGAATTAAATAAGGTTTGAATGAATAAGAATACTTGCTAGAATAATCCCGAGGAAAGCATAGCCTAGAATCTATTTTCTCATACTTGATTTATTTAGAATAAGCCTTCATTAGTGTTAGAATTTATTTTTGCATTCATTCGTTAGTTTAGAATAAAAACTCCAATCAAATTTGCGTTTGTCTAGATAATATTTAGTCGTCTATATTTTGGTACTTAATTAGTTTTACAGCAGTCTCTGTGGAATACGACCTTGCTCGCCGCTTTCTGCAGCTACTCCGTACACTTGCGGGTAGTAAAATTATTTTGCGAACAAAGTGTCCAATTTGAACTTTAGTTCGCTACGCTTTATTCTTATTTTTCGTATGCTAGATTCATGACTTGCATGATTTGACGTTTCTAATATAATCCCAACAGATATTTGTATGCAAGTTTGATGTGCATGTGCCAAATTAGATGTTCGGTGTACTTTACTTCGAGATTAATATATGTTTTTTTATGTTGCACTATACATAGGGAATTAACGAATTTATAATAATACAATATACATTATACAAAAATTAATTAAATTTCAGTTATCCATTACCTTAGATTGCTAATTGGAATTCAAAATAATTGGTGTTGAACACTATTTACACGCCCAATATATTATAGATCCAATAGTAATTATTCTAATCAACTTGCATTTAAAGTTTATTCTTGGGTCAAATGTTGTTAATCTCTCATTTTGCAACATTTTCAGGCAGCACATGATCATTGTGCAAAAAATATTCCACTCTAATATATAGCTTATCACATGAGGCCGTACATATCATCACATGGGTGACTAAAGTAGGCAATTATGACTTTCTCCAGCTTAATTAAATACAAATTAATTCACAAACACACATACTTAATTGCTGATTAATCTATTAACTGAAATATTGACAGTTGAAAAATGAGCCAAGATCTCCATATAAATATTGTTAGAAAAGAGACATACATAACTACTTTTTTGCATCATTCTACCATATAGAAAAAAGAGACATGGTTTCCTTAGTTTCTTCAAATTTTTTCCTCCTTAATTTCTTGATTTTATTCTTGTTTGGTGACATTGCACAAGGTGCACTTACATTTAATGTGGTGCAATTCGGTGCAAAGCCAGATGGGCAAAGTGATGCAACCCAGCCATTTCTAAAGGCTTGGGCTTCGGCTTGTGCGTCAAGAATCGCATCGACTGTTTACGTGCCGAGAGGACGGTATTTCATTAGGTCGGCCGAGTTCAGGGGACCTTGCAACAAGGCTGTCAAATTTAAAATAGACGGCACCCTTTTAGCTCCCATGGACTACCGGGCTCTAGGAAATCCCGGTTATTGGATATTGTTCATTCAGGTGAACCGACTTACTGTTATTGGAGGTTCACTTGATGCCAATGGGGCCGGATTTTGGGCATGCAGGACTTCCGGCCAGGATTGTCCGGTCGGAGCAAGGGTAATTTTGTCAATTTTGGAC